CAATAAATCCGTAAGACCTGGGAAAGCACCTCATGGAGGCTTCATGCAGTGCTGTTCTTGGGCTCCAAGTGATGCAGCTAGGATATAGCCTGCTTTCTTCTCCCTGTCACTGCAGAGAAGACAAAGTCCTAAAGTGGGGCACCAAACTTCCAGAGCAGCTTCCAAACAGGTCTCAATGCCAGGCCTACTCAGTGACAGCCTCATCGACTGCCTACTCAGTGACTGCTTACACTACTCTCGGGAGAGTTGTCCCTTGCTGCCCTAAAGGGTGAGTTCAGGGACTATTCCTCAAGGGGCTTTCCCCAGCTCCTCATGACCCCAACCTGGGACGGAGAAAGTAGACTCTGAGCTCCGAGGACGGTACCAAGTCACCTGCAGGAGAACACAATGCCAGACCCCAGTTACCAGTGTCTGTCTGTGAACAGGCTTGCTATAGGCCCATCCTCTGCAGAGCACCTCCTTCTCATGAACCCAGACATTAACTGATGTGGACTCTGGATGAAGGCTGCCAGAGGGCAGTCTGTTGTTTTCACTCCTGGTGGGAAGATTTCCTCAGGCAACCACCTGATCAGGAGAGTGCATATGGCTGGGCTATATATCCTGACAGTTCTTCCATCTTTTCTCATTGCCTTGTGCACTGGGGTCTCCAAGATGATTTAACCTGTATTCCTTTTCCAAATGGGCATGTGAATGATTCTTTAAAAAAGCCCACCAAGGGGCTAGAGAGTTGTCTCAGAGGTTAAGAACATTTGATGCTTTTGCAGAGTACCCAGATTCAGTTCTTATTACCTACATGGTGGTTCACAACTATCCTCAACTCTAGGTCCAGGGGATCCAAAAACCTGCTTCTGACCTCCTTGGGCACAAGGCATGCATGTGGTGCACATACATACATACATACATACATACAGCCAAAAACAACATCAAAAACCCCACCAACTGTGGTGGCGAATGCTTTTAATCCCAACACTTAAGAGGTAGAGGCAGGTGTTTTTCTGCAAGTTGGAGGCCAGCCCTGTCTCAAAACCAAACCAAACCAAACCAACAAACAAAGGGTCCCATGGGTCCTGCTACATCCACAAATGGGCAGCCCTCACCATGTCCTCAAGCTGATGAGACCAGGCGTGGGCAGAGACCTGACAACACAGGGCGGAAGGGAGCTGCCATTAACACTAATGAAGCAGGCGGGCTGAAAGCTTTTTACTCTGAAGCTGTGTGCCCACCCAGGGAACAGTGCGTTCTGTTCCCTTGGTTTACAGGAACCCTAAGTGGAAAGGGACTTGGGGACAGGAACAAGAGTGGGGGGTCTTAAAGAAGGGAAAGAGGAGGTAGAGCTGGAGGGCTTGGTTTTAGCTGGGAGAGCTTTTTTGACCTGTCTTCCAAAGAAACCTGGGGTCTAGTTTTTTACTCTACTCCCGCCTGGCGACACTCACCGGCCCTTTGGTGCCCTTGACCAAAGTTCCTGGAAGCAAAGGAAACAACATGCCATGAAGAGGCTAAGTGAACATCTGTGGGGCCAGAAATTAAATTAAGATCACCGGCCGCCTGCCTCATTATTGCTAATAGTTCTAGCCTGACCCACCCTAGTTTCTGGTTTTAGGGAAATTTTGGGGTCTGGACACCCTATCTTGTTCCCAAAGTCTAATTGGTTCCTGGAGGCTTATGCCAAATTGGACAGGCACTTCTCCCAATGGTTCAGGTTCTAGGGAGAAAGCCCAACTGTGTCCCCATTTTCCAGGGAGGGCCCTCATGGCCTGGCTGCAGGAAGCAGTCACGTGTGGGCCCTTTATTAGACCCTGCCATATAAGCTCAGAACACCAGCGGCCAGGAGCTCTCTAGGCAAGGATCAGCAAGCAAAGGTAAGTGCAAAGGCTAGACAGGAATTCTAACTTTCCGGGGTTAGTTCTCTCGGCGTTTGTAGGGTATTCTGAGGATGACTAAATGGGGGGTTTTCCTGCTGAGCCAGGCCATGCTGACTGTAATGCTGCTGAGTTGTGCCCTGCTGCTGGCACTGCCTCCCACGCTGGGGGTCCAGATGGGCTTGGCACCCCTGGAAGGCATCAGAAGGCCTGACCAGGCCCTGTTCCCAGAGTTCCCAGGTGAGTATGGGCAGGTTGGTGATGTATGGGGCAACGACAATTGCTGGTCACAAATCTGCCTGTGTGGGACTAAGCCCTCGTCCCCCCGAATCCCAATCCCAACCCTGGGAGGTGGGTACTTGGTGCATGGTGGGTGTGGCCCTGACATCGTCTGCCCCAGGTCTAAGTCTCAAAGGCCCGAAGAGGACAACCGCAGACCGGACAGAAGAGGCTCTGCTGAAGAAGGCAGAAGCTCTGGTGGAGGTAACTCCTCAGGGAAAGGGATAAAGTAGCAGGTAGGGAGCATCAGATACCATCCTCTATCCCCACTTCCGGACCATCCAACCTGGCAGAACTGTAGACCATCCCTGCTCCACGCTCCACTGCCATCCTACTGGGATCGGGGTGGCAGAGTTTCCTGACGTTCTTGTTCCCCTATGAATGCAGGTGCTAGATCCTCAGAACCGCGAGTCTCGTTCTCCGCGTCGCTGTGTAAGGCTGCACGAGTCCTGCCTGGGACAGCAAGTATCTTGCTGCGACCCGTGCGCCACGTGCTACTGCCGCTTCTTCAATGCCTTTTGCTACTGCCGCAAGCTGGGTACTACTACGAATCTCTGCAGCCGCACCTAACCAGTGGATGTTGGGCAAAGGCAGGGACGCGAATAAAGGATGGGACCAATCCTAAAGCTGTGGTTATTTTGAATGTGGCTGTGGAAGGGTCGTTGGGCTCACCGAAGGGTAGGGGGCGTCGTTATGCCGGAACTGCAAACACTATAACCTCAGGGTCTAGGTTACTCCATCTTCTGAGTCACGGATATCGGCGATTTTTAAGGCACCAGGCCCCTGTGTGTGTGTGTCGGGGGGGGGGGGCAGGAGGCCACACGCCAGCCCCAGAGAATCTAGTGCAACAAATGCAGGGAAGGCGGGCGCAGCTTGGCTTATGGGGAGTCAAGTCTAGCTAGTGGCTAAACATTGGTTTCAAAACCCTTCTCTGGACCTCGGTTTCCGCCTGGTAGGAGACGGTCGCGGCAGCGTAAGGAACAGCACACAGGCTCACCTTGACCTGGTTGGCCCCAACAGGGCCAGGCAGAAGCGCCTAACTCGGGAAAACTAAATTGAGGGCCCCCGCTCGAATCCTGCGGGTATTAGCACCACCACGCGGTCGACTCGCAACATCGCTGTTGCTTTGCTCTCCGCGGGGCGCCGAAGGCCCGCCTTGCCTTAGTGCGCAGGCGCCCAGAGGGCGGCTCGCTCCCGGGCGACGCTTGCGCGCCAGGCCACCCGGAAGCTGGATACCTAGAAGAGCCAGCCCCGCTGTGGTCACGTGAGACGCTTGGCGTCATCTGACGCACTTGACAGCCCTCTGCGGCCGCCGAGTCAGCTGATCTCCGAGTCGAGTTGCGTGAGCCCCAGCAGGGCTCTCAGGTCCCGCCGCCCCGCCGCCCCGCCGCCCCCGCCGCCCCCGCCGCAGCCATGTCGTTCTTCCCGGAGCTTTATTTCAACGTGGACAATGGCTATCTGGAGGGCTTAGTGCGCGGCCTCAAGGCCGGGGTGCTCAGCCAGGCGGACTACCTCAACCTGGTGCAGTGCGAGACTCTGGAGGGTGAGCCGCGGGGCTGGGCTGTGTGAGGGGCCTTGAGAGGCCGCAGTGGAGGCCGCCCTGAGCCGGGAAGCCGGAGACGGAGGGTCTCGAAGGGCCTGCGAGGCCTCGGGGAATCCGCGAGCGGATGGCGGGCGTGTCAGAAGGGAGGCTACCTGTGGTTGCGGCTCTGTGAGGGGCCCAGACATAAACAAGACTTTAAAAACCGCAGTGGGTTGCCTCGGCTTGGGTTGCCTCTAACCTCGTGGAGCTAGGCCTGTAATTTGGAAGGCCGAGCTCCTGAGGATTGATTAGTCGGCGCCAAGTGTCCACCTACAAGCCTCTTCCTCACCCTGGCCCAAGCCGGGGCCTGTCGGGTGGCAATGCATAGGGAAGTTGGGTTCGGAAAGCTCTCCCTTCCCCCAAGGTCTTTGGAGTCCTTGGTGTTGGTCTGAGGGTTGAGCCTTCCAGGGGAATTGCTAAGACAGTTTGGTGAGAGGTTCCTCCCAGCTCCGAACAGCTGGCTGTGCAGTGTCTCCCAGACTGAATGTTTGGGAAAGCCAACCCTAACCCTAACCCTGTAAATCTGAAGTTCGTGCACAAGTATTTGACCCCTACTCCCCTACCCCAGTGAGAAACGATGCCTTTGGGGACAACAGTGTCTTACACAAGAGTGACAGAAATCTCAGTTCCCCTTTCATAACACTAGATGGAGAGCAGTGGTTCTCAACATGTGGGTCGTGACCCCCTTGGGGTCACAGGGGTTGCCTGAGACCATCGGAAAGCACAGATATGTATGTTAACGATTTGTAACAGTAGCAAGATTACTGTTAATGAAGTAGCAACGAAAATAATTTTATGGTTGGGGGTCACCACAATATAAGGAGCTGTATTAACGGGTCGCAGGCATTGGGAAGGTTGAGAGCCACTACTCTCAAGTAAGATGACTTTCAGGCCCATCTGTAGCAAAAGTACTAAGTTAGAGATGTCTCTATAATTCCAGACCCTCCACCCTGGTGGTAGTGAAGGATGGGGATGTGAGTTCCCATCTCTTAGTCCTAAATGATTCCTTTGAAGAAAGGTACTTATTAGCTGGAGGAGAAGGCTTGGTGGTTCACCCAGTTTAGAAACTTCTCATCAAATACTTCTGGAGTTAAATTGAGCTCATTTAGTTATTGATTACCCTGAAAACTAGATCTGTCACATGAAAAACAGTGTTTCAAATACGAAACTTACTGAAGTTAAGTGCAGTAGCAGATTTTATGATTTTTATGTTAACCTGCAAGGAAATTTGTTTACCTTCAATATAGGAGTAGAAATGGGGAGGAGAAGCCGGGCAGCTGTGGTGCACGCTTTTAATCCCAGCACTCGGGAGGCAGAGCCAGGCGGATCTCTGTGAGTTTGAGGCCAGCCTGGTCTACAGAGCAAGACCCAGGACAGGCACCAAAGCTACACAGAGAAACCCTGTCTCGAAAAACTTAAAAAAAAAAAAAAGAAAAGAAAAGAAAAGAAATGGGTGGAGAGGATACTTCAAGATGCTGGGTTGTGGGAACCAGCCACAAACCTTAGTTTGACTTCACTGTTGGAAGAGGAGAAATAGAGAGGCTGCCTTGGGCATGGCCTAACACCTAGTTGGCACTTAATGTGAGTTCGGTGGATTGATGGGAACTTGAGGAAGATTTTTTTCCCTGTTACAAAGATGTTTAGTTTTTTTCTTTCAGAAGATCCTTATTTGGGTAAATGTAAAGGTGAGCACTATTGCCTTTTTTTGGCTTCTCTTCTGGCTTTCCTTTCTCCAGCTGCTGCCTGCTCCCCTGTGGAATTTCTGGGAATCCGTGTTCCTGTCTTTTTTGTTTGTTTGTTTGTTTGTTTGTGACGGTTTCTCTGTGTTGTAGCTTTGCACCTTTCCTGGATCTCATTCTGTAGACCAGGTTGAACTTGAACCCACAAAGATCTGCCTAGCCCTGCCTCCAGAGTGCTGGGATTAAAGGAGCGTGCGCCACCACTGCCCGGCCCGTGTTCCTGTCTTTGCAGCAGACACTACATCATCGACAATAAATATACTGGGACATTCTTCCTGCTGTTTGGCAATGGGCCCCTTGTGGAACATCATCCAGACCTTTAGGACCCTGCTCTTTCACACATACCCTTCTCCTTTGCATGGAGTATACCCAGCACTCGTGCACAGAGGCGATAGGACTTCAGAGTCCAGCAGACACAGGTTTGAATCTCAATCAGCCGATTACTGGATTCCTGTAGACATATTGTTCAATGTCTCTGGACATGGAAGTCTTCATCTGCCATAAGAGCAGCACCTATCTCATAAAGACTGTGAAGATGACCACAGTGCTACTTTGTGTAAAACACTTAGCCCAGCACCAAGAATCCAGTAAGGGCTAGAGATAAAGTCTGAATTCAGTAAATGTTAGCTTGTATTTATTGTCTGTTACTTAACTTGCTGGTCACTCTGCTTCCTTCTCCGCCCATAAGCACTGTCCCACTGCCGCCGCCTTCTTTTCTTTTTTCTTCAGTACTGTGATTTGAGCCCTGTAGATACTTGGAAAGTGGTCTAAGCACTGAACTATAGGCCCAGCCGTCTTTGTTGTTTTGTTTTTGAGACAGGGTAGCCCTGGCTGTCCAGGAACTTATTCTGTAGACCAGGCTGACCTCAAACTCAGCGATCCACCTGCCTCTGCCTTCCCAGTGCTGGGATTAAAGGCGTGTACCACCACTGCTTGGCTTCCAGCCCTCTTTTTAATGTTTTATTTTGAGATAGAGTCTCTCTAAGTTACACTGGCTGGCTTGTACTCTATAGCCTAGGCTGGCTTTGATATTGTGATCCTCCTCCATAGCCTTCCAAATAGCTGGAATTGTTTTTGTATTTTTGTGCTTATTTTTAAATATTATGTGTACATGTATGTGTGGACATGTGCATGTGAGTTTGGGTACCGTTGGAGGCCAGAGAGGAGGAATTGTGTTCCCTGGAGCTGGAGTTACAGATGGCTGTGAACCATGTGGTTACTGGGAATTGAATGGAAGAATAGCCAGTGCTCTTCAGTCCCTTATTTGTTTGTTTTTTGGGAAAGGAACTCACTCTGTAGCCCAGGCTGGCTTAGAACTTACCATACAGTACAGGCTTGACAGGAATTGGCAGTAATCCTGTCAAGTGCTGTGTTTACCGGTGTGAGTTACCACACTTGGCTACCAACCTCATCTTTGAAACTCTGGTCGTGGTTGACTAGAATGTTGTCTCCTCCATTCAATCATAACTTCTGTGGTATTTGTCAATGATACTTTTCTAGAAATTTCTTGACTTATATTTGGAATCCCAGGGACTTTGTATGCTGGAGTCCCAGGACTTTTAAGGGCAGTACATAATCGGAAGCAGCAAAGAGGGCCAGTGAGAGTTCAGCAGGTAAAGGCACTGGCTGCCAAGCCAGTTGATCTGAGTTCAATTCTTAGGGCCCACGTACTGAAAACTCAACTCTCACAGGTTTTCTGACCTCCACAGAGTGGTACTTTTTGTTTGTTTCGAGACAGGGCTTCTCTGTGTAGCCCCAGCTGTCCCAGAGCTCACTATGTAGACCAGGCTGGCCTCTGACTCAGACACCTGTTTGCCTCTGAAGTGCTAGGATTAAAGGCATAGTTACCACTGCCAGGCTCAGAGTGGTGCTTTTAAAAATCAGGAGGAGTTGGAGATATGCTTCAGCAGTTAAAAGCATTGGGTGCTCTTCCAGAGGACCCAGGTTGATTTCCTAGTACCCTCATGACTCACTGGAATTTGTAACTCTAGTCCCAGGGGATCCAATACCTTCTTCTGGCCTTCATGGGCACTGTATCTACATGGTGTACAAGCATACATTCAGACAAACATTCATACACGTAAAATAACATGAAAAAAATTAAAAAGCAGGAATAGTGACCAAAAACTCCATTTGTCTTTTGCACAAAAGCTCTATGTGATTTTTGAATGTGGTACTCAAAGCCTGAGCTTTGGGCTTCTGTTGCTAGCTGTTATTGCCTTCCTCATCTTCAAGGGGAAGAGGGAAAAAGATGAGAAGTGAGGAAACTGAAGAAATTTGTGAGTCCCATTAAGATCTTTTCTTG